ACTGTGTATTACTGTGTGTAGACTATATCACTATTAGAAAAAAAATATAATTTTATCATAAAAAGAAAATTAGGTTGCTTTCTAATCATGCTAAGTAGTGAAAAAATACATCACACAACAACTCATAGAACACTGAGAAAAGTTCTGATGCTGTTAATATTTTTTTTTATTATTAAATTTGTATGTAACAATGAGAATAAAGTAATAAAATATAATAACGATATTATAATGTAGTTTTAGATGCCAAAATATTAGAGTGTAACTCAGAATGATGACTAACCCATGTGTCCCCTAAATTGTTTGAACAACAGTTTGTGTTATTTTATTTATCACTTTTACTTCTACCATAGTCGTTCAGGAGTTTTGATCTTAATGATTAATTTTGTGAAGAATAATAAAACTAAGTAAAACTAGTTTGTTTAAGTCGTATAATTAACTTCCCGTAGGGTAGTTATAGTAATGGGCCGAAAATCGAAAATGAAAATTTTCGCATATATATCTTCATGTTTTGAAGGCTTCTGAACATTTTGGCATGCCTCAGAGAAATTAGATTAGTGTGTGTGTTTTGTGTGTCCGTATTTTTTCGTTTACGTTTTCGGGCGTATGGATCAACCGATTTGAATGGTTCAAAAGCATTCTATCCCTATTGATAGGGAAATGTGCTGATTAGTTTTTGGCAAAGGCAGGTCCGGCCGTCACGGAGATACGGAGCAAAGAGTGCAGAAAATAGAAATCGAGGTTTGAGAGAACGGAGTATCCGATTTAAATGATCCAAAAAACAATCAATTTGTAATGATTGGGAGAAGTTGTGTTTAGTTTTTGGCAATGGCAGGTGCAGTTGTTTTGGAGATACTGAGCTAATTGCAGATTTTCATCTAAAACACAGAAAGGAAAATTATTTGTCTGATGAATACTGATGTAGACTGATTAGATGTCTAAAATGCGATATACACACATATATCTCTTGAAATTTTGTTCATAATTTGCAGGTCCTTTTTCAATACACACACACACATTATATATGCATTTATAACTGTTTATGTGGTATTTGTGTTATTGTGTATATAATCTGCTTTTATAACTTTTTATGAAAAAAAGGACTATTAAATTAATAGAATCCTCTACAACATTAGTATCATGAAATTTAGATTCACTCAAAAATATTTTAATAAATATATGCAGTTTTCAATTTTTTTGGGACGTCAGCTTCTGTTGGTCTCGCACTAAATATGAAAGATTTTATCTGAATCTTTATTAAATCTTTATTAAATCTGAACCCACTTCTGAAATAATAAATTTGGTTCTCTTTATTAGAATACGATGTTCTCTCAAATTGTAATATTACACTTCTATATGACCACATTCGACTTCACAGTAGGAGAAACTGGGTACGGTTGTGCCACTTTTTTTATCTGCAATGATTTTGTTAATTTAAGAGCTAGTTTGATGAAAAGTAAATTAAATGGTAATTTGAACATTGCCTTTGATGTCATTCTGAAATACTGTCCTCAAATACGATGGATTAATCATAGAATCAAATCCGATAAGAAGAAGGCAAGTGTCACAAACGTTCTGGGGGTGTGGCATGAAAATAGGTGAAAAACAATAGCTATAAAGTCAAAACAACATAACATAATCATTCAAGTAATGGGCTTATGAATATAGTATAACAATATTTAACAAAACATCAATTTTTAAATAAAGTTAACAAGACATCTTTGTGGAATCTCTTTCGTATTTTGTCTTAGCCCATTGTAGGCGGGCCCCATTTTATCGACTATTTCCTTCTTTTAAAATAATTTAACATATACTTACAGAAAAATAAACTCATTTAATATCTCCCCGTCCTTGTTCAGGAGCGTTTTTGTCGAAAATCTATCGGTCGGTCTTATCAGTGCAAAACGCGCAATAAAACCCCCAATGAATATTAGATGTCGCATTACTTTTCCATCGCTTTTTCACGAACAACGGAATTATCGCACTCCGGAAAAACTCTCCTTACTTCGAAGCGCTAAGACTTTCCCGGAAAATGCATTTCTCTATTTTCTTTCGATTTTCTCCTTTTCAGTCAATAGTGTTCGAACGCAAATGTTGCTGATGTTTTCTTCGAGTTTCGCACGAATCCAATTAGAAAAGATCAACAGAAGATAAATACTGGTAAATTACACCAAAGGAGAGGAAGAAATCTTTAACAGTATCATGGATTTGCCATTGAATTTCAGGAATCAGGTGCTGTATTTAGGAAAAATAAATCGATAATAAGAAACTTTCGCATTTTTGTAGGTCTATGATATTTTGATAAATTAAATTAGGATTTTTATAGACAGTTGTAATTACTTAATGAAATAAAATAAATAAAATATAAATTAGGGTTGCAAAGATATTTTGTAGTTCAAGTTAGGCTTATATATTTTTTTGTATAAATTAGTAATAATCAATTCAGAATTGATGAATTTTTGCATTCACCTTTTTATTGATTATGTTTTATGTAGAGTTGATATGCTTTTTGAAGATAAATTCTAAGTGCATCACAATAATTTGAATAAATTAAATTATAAAAAATCTTAAATCGTGAGAATTTAGGTCTGAACTAAACAACAGTGCTCACAACCAAATAAAAAAAAATTTTTTTTACTGATTTTCAAACATTGCCAATTATCTCCCGATAGCGATGTCGTGAGAATTAAGATGATGACTGGATATACATTTTTTGCCCTCTACTTTCAAATACTGTTGTTGAGAAATTCTTAACTTTTATATGTCGGTGGTAGACCTTTCTTAGCGCTGACCTTTATGCCCAGCACTATACTATATAGCCACTCATTGAAACATTCAGTCTTAATGATTTTTAGCATTTTTTAACTAAAATTTAGAAAAAATAATGTGCGGTGCTGTTTTTGTAATTTTGTAAATAAAAATATTGCAAAACTTGTAATTGCTTTGGTAAAACATTTTCGAGCTTTAGATGTTTCTTCAAGCGATTGATTTGAACAATACATTTTGATTCCAAAATTCACAAAAGCCTAGATATAGTATATTTAACTTCCCATGGGGTAAGTTATAGTAATCGCGAAAAATATCGGAAATGAAAATTTTTGTATTTCTTAAAGTTTCAAACGTTTCTGAACATTTTCGCATACCTTAGAAGAAATATATGTATGTGTTTTTTTGTATAGCGAAGGTAATGCATTTATGCATCTCAGACTGGAACATTAAAAAAACATTCGATTCATATGGATATCGAGACATACTGTTTAGTTTTTGGCAAAGGCAAAACTAGCGGTTTCAAAGATCCGGGGCAAAAAGAGCCAAAAATAGTAATTCAGTTTTTGAAAGGACGGAGCGTCCGATTAGACATATGCCCATCAAGTTATCAGATATTTTATAGAGATTTTAATAATGTGTACACATTTTGTGTCCTTTTTTTGGTTCTCTACCAAGTTTTTTAATTTTGAAGCTTATTTATATAGTTCAAACAAATGTCCTCGACATTTTCGACAGTGTGGAATAACCGATTTGAATGATTGAAAAAACATTCGGTTCGTACTCGATCGCAAGGCGTTTTTGCAATAGACACATCTTGCCGTTTCGGAAGTATCGAGCGCAAAGGTAATAAAAATGGTCATGCAGAAGAGAACGGATCATCCAATTAGATTAATTCAAAAAACATTTTGCTTTTGTAGACTGTGTGAAAAAAGTGCTTTCACAGAAAATTTTGTAATTTTAAAAATTTTCAATTTAAAATTTCAATTTTTTTGATAATTTCCAAAAAAACCCCTAAATTTTGAACAATTTTAAAAAACTATCTAAATTATAAAAAATCGTTTTTTTACAAAAATTTTAGATTATTTCGAAATTTACAAAAAAAAATTGAATATTTTCAAAAATTTTAAAAAATCGATTCGAACTTATAAGATTTTTTCAAGATTTTGAAAAAATATCAAAATTACCAAAAAAAAATTTTTTTTTTAATTTTTTTAAAAAAAAATTACAATTTTTTTGTGAACATACACATAACTTGTTTGTAGAATACGTTCGTCGCCCAATTTAACAAGCGCTTATAAATTTACAGTATTTATAATAAATAATCTATTTGAAAATATATAAAACAATTGTAATTAATTATTTAATTTTCATTGATAAATTGATTATGTTCATTCTTCGAATGTATTTAATTACGGTACGAAATGTTTCATCAATTTGCCTTAAGGCACGATGCCATGCACCACTAGTTATAAGTGCATTCAATTCATTGAATTATTTGATCAATACATCTAAAATAATTCATAAAAATCTTTGTAATTTCGAACATACTATAATTTATTACACCGGATTCGTATGCAACAGAACCTTCTTCCTCTACCACACCAGTTTGCAGAGTTTCTCTTCCATCTAACTCACAACAAGAAAGGTAAAACGACTCGAACAGTTAGATTCTACACATAAGGCACTGAACAACTTTATATTTTTGGAAATGACTTGAAGCGTGGGTCATAAGCCTCGTTGGCAAATAATTAGAAGTTCACTTCGAAAATCTATCTTATTTCATAAAATTCGATTTGGAGTCTCTTCAGTTACTCTTTTTGTGTAAAATATTGTAGAGAGAAAATGTTTGCAGCGGCGCAAACCAGTTTGGAAATGTCAAGTGAATGTGAATACAGCCTCGTGTTCTTGCTTTGAATTTAAATCACGGTTTATGAAAAAATATATGCGGATAAACATAAGACACAAGTGTATCAGAAGTGCATTACTTGAATATAAAAAATATTTTTAAACATGTGTAAAAATATATTTTAATTTTTTAAAATAAAATTATTATTATTAAAACTAAAAAAAGTATTTATTTGTTGTGGTTGCTGTAATAAGCAGTTTGGAGCTTATTAATATGTTACAATTTACTAAATAAAAACGCTCAACTAAATTTTTTATATTTAACCAAATATGTTTTATAAATTCTATTAAATAGTTACCGATTTAGTGAAATAATATTATTTATTAAAATGTGTAGTTTAGAATTGAAATGTGTGATTTTATCAGTGATATTAGGTTTAGTAAATGCAGGCTATATACCACCAGGACCAAGATACACATGTCCAAATAGGTAAAAAATATATCTAAATTATAGTTTAAAAAACATAAATTTAACCAATTAACCAAAATAAATATTAGTTAACTATCCCAAAGATTTTATATCAATTTAAATATTAATCTATATTGTATCATATTCTTTTAAATCTAATGTAAAATCAATCAAATCAAAATCAAGTACAATCAATAAAAAATTTAAATTAGAACTCAGAGTATTTTAAAAATCTGAATTTTAGGAATTTCAGTAAATGCCTTAAATAAACAAATAATTTCATATTGTTCTATTTTATATTTTATATTATGTATTCTATATTTTCTTCATATAAATCAGAAGCATTAAATGTGATTTAAGAGTATAAACTTGAAATTCTATATAAAATTATAAAAATGTATTTAGGATTTTATTAATAATACTTGAACTATACAGTAGATTTAATATTTTAATATTTATTGTTAACATTAAACTTTCTTCTATCCTATATAACACAATTAAATATCAAAAACTATAAATTTGAATTTAGAATCAGAACCTTAAATTATAAATAAAATAATGATTAATTAGGCTTTTGTAGCAAATATTTAACTGTGTAATTGATTTTATATTATTGTAAATATTAACCACTTCATTCTCTATATTTTTCTCTATTAATTCTAATACTGTACTTTATACTGTACTTTATATAAAATACTTCAACATTATATTTTGAATATGAACCCAAATTCACTAAATTTTATATTACTCTAATTACTTATTATTACATTTTATATATGTTCTTCTTACATAGTTTTAAATAAAAAAGTTTAAATATTAATTAAAAATATAAACTCCAAACAATATACAAAATTATAATCCATATAAGTGATTCTTAATTATTTATTTTTTTTATTTTTATTAACCATTATTTTATAATGGTATATTTTTGTTTCTATTCAGCACAAATTGAAAAACTAACTTTAAAATTAGAATTGAACATGGAATTGCATATATAATTATTATATAAATAGTGTAATTAATTATTTAGGACATTGTTATATATTCAATTTGTCCTTAATTTTAATGTAATTCTTTATTGTCCAGAACATTTGGTTTAAATATATTTCCATTGAAAATACTACTAATACTACTAATTTGAGAAATAAAGAACCGGTTACAATAAGATTTTGAACGATTAGTGGAAAAACGAAATTGAACTATTTTTAAAACAGTATTGAATTTTTTTTAATTACTAGTAGTTTAGGTTGTGAAATTATCAAAACAGTATTAAAAGTCTGCTATAATAATTAATTTAATTAATTTAATTTATATAATTTATTAATTAATTATTTAATTAATTTATATAAATAATTTAAGAAATAATTATTGAACTATAGTAATAATGAACTATGATTTAACCTGATACGAATGTAGATATAAAGTTCTCAAATATCTAACATAATTCCATTGAGTAAAATGCATTCAGTATAGTATTAGTAATAACATTTAAAATTTTACAAAATTCATATAAATAGCGAAGGCTAAAACGCGCGTGGAACACTTTCACTTGTTCCCATGCATCGTCATAAATTCTGCTGAGATGACTGAGAATGATTTAAATAGAAATTTATAATGGAGAAATAGATTATAATTATTTTGTCGGAATAAACACTCAGAAATAAAAACAATAACACGCGTAAAATCATTATAGGTGACCAAAGAGTAGTGGAGACTGGGTACGGTAGTGCCACTTTTATTTGATCAGCAATAATATAGTTAGATCACCAGTTAGCGGGGAAAGGAAAAATTAATTTAACATTTGTCTACGTGGAAATACTGAAATGCTGTCCTTTAATAGTAGATTAGATATAAAATCAAATCAAACAAGAAAAGAGCGAGTGTCACAACCGTCCACATCCCAAGGATGGCTGTGACAGACATAAACGTGGGATAAAAGACAAATATATAAACACTAAAATGGTTTATAATGACTTATATTGTCAGAAATATGTAACACAGCTCAACATAATCATTTAAACAATCACAAAGCTTATAAATATTATATATGACAAAATTAATTAAAAAATATTTTTTTTAAACAAAATAAGAAGAAATACACTGAACTATGCGGTCACTTTCTTTCTTATAATTTAAAGATTACCCTCACGACTAGTGTTATTACAAGTTTCTTCTTTGGAATAAGTCAAAACTGTTAATAATTACCAGTTAACTAATCAGTCAAATTATTACAGTAACTATGAATCAATATACTGAAATCTAGTCAAAATCCTCATTACAATGATGTCTAATCTAATAATGACTATCAATTGTGTGTTTTACGTGGAACCAGAAAACACATGTACCATGGCACTTGATTTATTTTACGCCACCCCTACTTTCAGAATATGAGCTTCCACAAACAATGCAGAATCTTTCTTTCCTTGTATTGAATTTTCCTTCATATTTTGATCAAGTTTAGTTAGATTTTTCTTCACATGTTTAGCCTTTTAATCGAAAAAGACATTAAAATACATGTCACAACCATACCCACAAAACTTGTCACAACCGTACTTACCTTTAGAGCCAAAATCATTGTTATGGTCGAGTTAAATTATTTCCGGAAAAAGTAATTACTGGTAATTAACTGCTAATATTCAACTTGTAGCAAAATAACAAATAATGTAACCTATCTGTATAAAGGTAACAGTTATTAAATTAACAGAAATCAAACGAAAAAACTTATTTTGACTCTTTAAAAGCTATGTGGTCTACAGATAAGATGCTAACTCAATGAAATACTGGAAACTTGTTTGAACCAATATACTTTATCTTCCTCCCTTTGGACCCTATCTCAAAATCAGTATAGTTTAGCTGGTATGACGACTGTCACTACCGTACCCTGTACCCTGTGTTTAGTTTACCCTGTCTACTAATATATAAAAAACAAAATAACAAATACAATTCAAATATATAATATAAATAATAAATTGATTTTAATCAATATTTAAAATGATGATAATATAATTTAGAAGCATAAAATCATAAATAATATTATAAACTATTATTCAATATTTTCTAGTATATTACTCAATATTTCTTAACTTCTTACTTTTGTATCTAGTTACATTATTTCTATATAAACTGAATATACTACATTCCTATATAATAATGTGTCTTTATAATCTATCGTATACCTATTTGTATTCTTGATAATTTGAACTTTAGTATTTAATACTAATAAACATGTAGTAAGACGTACATAGATATAATAGTCAACATTTATATAGACATATAGTTTGGATTAAATAAGGCAATGTAATAATAGAGAATACAAAAATTACAATAATATATTTCTAAAGAATGATATCATCATCAGTAGAATGAGTTCGATTCTAATTCTAATCCTTGAAATTTACCCACGGAGCTCAATGATCTTTAGTCATATGTAGTCACATTCATTTTTTGACAAATTTAATTTGATGTAGGTACTTAATACTTTTGATCTGAATAATATGTGTATATTTATTTTACTTAATTATGCGTGGTAATGATAATATGTCCTAAATTTCAGATAAAACGCTCAAAAAATTAGTGAAATTAACAGTTCTAATTGTGGGGTTACTAAAATTTAGCTGAGTGTTAAATAAATATTTTTAAAAATAATTTATAAGTAAATTAAAATATTCAATAAATATAATGAAACATAATATATTTATGCACTTTATTTTATTAGTCTATAATATTAAAATTAATTTGCATGTTCTTAATTTAAAGATTAGGTTGGAAACTAAGTACGTGCGGATTTTTGTTAGTAAATTAAAAACATTTTTCTCGAGGAACTAAATAACTTTATACTGAAATGCATTGTCTCTCTTCCTACTTTCATAAAACGTCTGGTTTTTGTTAACAAAAAACTAAATCAGGGATAATTTGACAATATTATTAATTTATTTGAAGTTGAAAGTTTTGTAAAGATTAAAACTAAAAATTATCGTATAGTGTAAGATCAGGACTATATGGTAGAGGTGGCAAAACATCCCAACCGAGCACCAATAATTTTTGCCGAATGGCAAATGATATGTGATGCTAATAACGGGGTAAATAACCGTTTCGATTTGCCAATTCAGGTCGCTTTTTCTCAACTAAATTCTTCAATTTTTTTAGTTGTTTTTTTTGTAGACATCAGAATGGATAGTTGGGTTGGTGATAAAAGTTTAAAGTAGAAAACTCCTTTCAATCAACTTCAACGAAACAAGAATAATCACTAAAACGAAATTTGTCAAACCCTGCCGCATTTTTAAAGCTCTATCACCGTAAACAGCATATAAAGGGTATGGGCGCATTGCCATATAGAATCGGCCCCACCCTGGTATTGAAATAATTTATATGCCATTTTATAGGTCTAAATGATAAAAACCGATATACCAATTTTCAACTTTGTATCTCATCTTATGGCCGAGATATCATTGAAAATATGTGAAAGTGGCCCCTTTTTTCAAACTCACTTTTTGACGTAACCATAAAAGATATCGAAAAAAAATTTACGTGGTGCTATTCATATTGGCTTAGGCCACATAACGTAGAACAATCGATGCCAAATAATTAATTATTATTAGCTGAAAAAGATAAAATAATTTTTTAATTGATGTTTTCTGGTAGTGCGTTTAGTTGGACCACCTTCTAATTAGCGTTATTCGAAAGATTATTGTTTTTTCTTTTAGTGCTAAAAATATTGTTCAAATCAATTTGGTGGAACATATTGGAAAATTGAAAAAACCGGAGCCAGTACACCCGCGCGTAACCCTAATAGTACCCTGCAATTGCATAGAGTTCGTTCGAACGCAAAGCAGTGCGCGAAGCGCCCGAAACGATTCCTAAGAAATTCTGAATGTTACAATATTTTTTATATAGTTATATGTATTCATATGAAATAATGATATAATGAAACAATGTAATTTCAACAAACCCAAGAAACCTTTCTTTTTTTGAATGATAATTGTAATATTGCGATTATAAAGCCCTTATTGTGGCCTATCTTTATCAGTACTACTCAATACTACAATACAAAAAGAAATATGACAAATGGTAATCTGAAATTCTTTGCTTTTTGTTATTTAATATTCTTCAAAAATTATTCGCCATTTGATGTGGAAACTTTCTATATAGTACTTCAGAAATTTACAAAAATTATTACTGAAAGTATTCTAATAATCATTTTCATAACATAAAATTTTTCAGTTAATTTATTTCAAAAATTATATTATTTTTATGTTTGTATTTTTTATGTGGCTTATGTGCGCAAATATATCGGCTTTTACACAACACACTAAATAATAAATTATTGCCTAAAGTCCGAACATTATGTAAAACTGTAGGTTTTTTACATAATAAGTATGAAAAACGATTATCATCGGATGGAGATTTGGCTGATGATGAAGTGATGAACTATATGAATGAACGGACTATACCCAACACCTTACATGATGAAGTTATTGAAAATCGATGGACCAGACGAGCAAAAACACTTCAACTTCTTCAGCAAGATCAGTTGTTAGATTTCCCACATTTGAATGAACGATAACTTAAAATATTATCACAGGGTCATACCAGTTATCACAAGAAATATCTTACCTAGCTGAAATGCTGTCTGACCAAAATCAACCGAAGTTATATTACGTAAAAGAATATAGGAATATAATTAGAATTGAGGTCCAATCACGGCATATAAATAGGAAAAAATATAATGTTTATATTGAATATACTCCGCTTGGCACCAACTATCGAAGTATTTCAAGGTATTGCTGTAGTTGTCCCAATGGATTGAGGACTGTTGGTTGTTGTTCACATATTGCAACTATCATATATTATATGTCATTTGCGAGGTATTTATCACGTATTATACGTCCATCAGAAATACTATCGAAAATTTTTGTAATAGAGGAAACTTCGGTTGCTATTAACCATGACAGTGATGACGATTAAAATAACAAAATATAATTTTAATTGATTTATTATTTATTTATTTAGCATACCGAAGTGTAAATCATATGATACACTTGTAAATTTTAAAAGAACACCAATAAATTTTTATTTCTAATAATATAATTAAAATACTTTTATTACTTTAATTAAATTACTCACAGTGATAAATAAATGAATTTGTATTTCAGAATTCAAAGTTCAGAATTTCTTAGGAATCGTTTCGGGCGCTTCGCGCACTGCTTTGCGTTCGAACGAACTCTATGCAATTGCAGGGTACTATTAGGGTTACGCGCGGGTGTACTGGCTCCGGTTTTTTCAATTTTCCAATGTGTTCCACCAAATTGATTTGAACAATATTTTTAGCACTAAAAGAAAAAACAATAATCTTTCGAATAACGCTAATTAGAAGGTGGTCCAACTAAACGCACTACCAGAAAACATCAATTAAAAAATTATTTTATCTTTTTCAGCTAATAATAATTAATTATTTGGCATCGATTGTTCTACATTATGTGGCCTAAGCCAATATGAATAGCACCACGTAAATTTTTTTTCGATATCTTTTATGGTTACGTCAAAAAGTGAGTTTGAAAAAAGGGGCCACTTTCACATATTTTCAATGATATCTCGGCCATAAGATGAGATACAAAGTTGAAAATTGGTATATCGGTTTTTATCATTTAGACCTATAAAATGGCATATATATTATTTAAATACCAGGGTGGGGCCGATTCTATATGGCAATGCGCCCATACCCTTTGTGAGCTTAATTCGGTGCTCCCGAAAACGTCGACGAAAAATTGTAGCCATATATACATACATACTACATACCCCATACACACATTCATTTTTTCTAAGGTATGCCAAAATGTTCAGAAGTCTCTAGAACGTAAAGATATGCGAAAATTTTAACAATAACAAAACTTTTATTGTTACATATTTACAGGCAAATAACTACTATTCAATCAAAAGGGTATTTTATTCCAACCATACATACAATATTTATACATATTTTATATATTCATACATACAATATTTATACATATTTAATTATATTGAATCATTTATTTTAAAATTAGATATTATAAAATTATATTGCAAACGAATCAGCTTTGAGAAACTTTAATTATAGATAACATTAATTAGTATAAGGCGCATTTCCGATGTTAACGTCGTCTTTTAATTATGAAATTATATAATTATACCAATGTTAATGAAATTATTTAATTTTAACTAGCCAACCATCAAAGAATATAGCATATCATTTAAAATGCTAAATATTTAATATACTAAACTAAAATGTTTTGTCAATACATGTTTAACAATTTTTCGGAGATGTTTGTTCCATCGCATCATTTAACAATAATATTTAATATTTGCTTTGTTATCTTGTGTAATGTTAAATTTAACTAATGATTTATATTTTATTTATATTGCTATAGTAAAACATATAATCATATTTAACTGTTTTCTAATTGTAACTTCCCGTAGGGTAGTTATAGTAATGGGCCTAAAATCGAAAATGATTTTTTTTTGCATATATTCACGTTTAGAGGAATATTTGATATACATCAGAAAAAATGGATGTATGTGTGTATGTATGTATGGATACAATTTTTCGGTTACGTTTTCGGGCGCACGGATCAACCGATTTGAATGGTTCAAATAACATTCAATTCCTATTGATAGGGAGATGTGCTAATTAATTTCTGGCAAAGGCAGGTCCAGCCGTTACGGAGATAAAGAGCAAAGAGTGCGGTAAATAGAAATCGAGTTTTTGAGAGAACGGAGCATTCGATTTGAATGATCTAAAAATATTCAATTAGTAATGATTGGGGGAAATGGTTATTAGTTTTTGGCAAAGGCAGGCCCAGCCATTTCAAAGATACAGATCTAAATATACAAAAAACGGCAGTTTTTGAGGGAAATAAGCATCCGAATTAAATGATTCGAGAAAAATCTGCTTGTGTTGACAAAACAATTGCTTTTGGAAAAAAAAATTGCCAATTTTTTTTTTGTATATTGAAAATAATTCAGATTTTAATTTTAATTTGGGCTAAAATTTTAAAGTTCACTTGTATACTCTAAATAAATAACTTTAACTTTGTAATTCAGTTTATATAATTCTTATAAATAAATATTAGACAAATCTGACAGTATTTATAATAATCTATTTGAAAACATTTAATATTCTTCGAACATTTCGTTACGGTACGGGAAGTTCCAGCAATTTGCTATAAGGCACGATGCCATACTCCACTGGTTTTATCTTCTAATTATTATTTGATAGTTCTACATGATGTTGCGATGACACTTCTGCGCAACACGTCGCTTTTTAGAAGGCAACGTAACAGTTGTCCTATCTATTTTGATTTATTTTATATTAGGATAAAATCCAATTTCAATAGTAATAATATTATATCGTTATATATAAAACATATTACATACTTATGTAATTTATAATATTTGTCCTTTTTCTTTAGAACCCAGCTAATTTCGCCTTGTGTCTGTTTGGCGGGTGGTGACGATGGACTAAAAATTCTTTGCGAAAACTCCAACATAGCTTCCATGGGCGTGGGTCTCAATAATTTGGCAACCTTTGCAATGCCCATTGAAGAACTTAGATTAAACAAATGCCATTTTGGTTAGTAATATTTGAATAATACTTTACAGAAAAATAATTACAAATTGACTTAATTATTGTTTACATTATGCAGAACGCATGTATGGAAGTCTTTTGTACAAATTAAAATTAAGGATCTTGCGAATTGAAGACACGCCGATTCAAACTATTGATCAATATAGTTTTCTTGGAGTCAATGATACTTTGCAAGAATTGTATTTGACGAATACTAGTATTCATACGTTTCCCAAAGAAGCATTTCAGGTAAAAATAGAAATTATTGATGTAATGATAACATATTTGTTTAGCAATAATTTGGATAAATAGCCAACTGTAGAAATTAATCTTTTAACATCATGAGTGCACATTGCTATATATTTAGAAGTCTGCTGTTCACATAGTATCTGTTCGTTCTTTTTAAATTAAAAATTATTACTATCATAGTTTGCGAATACAAAAAAATAAATTTAAATGATATAATTTATTCTGTATAATTTTCTAATCATAACTGTCTAGTTACCATATTAGATATATAGAACACAAACTAAACACAAACAAAATATATGTAAGTAACTAACACAAACAAAATATATGTAAGGAATTTTCCTTATTTGAACCTGTATAGTTTGCTAGTTAAGTTTTTTTATATATTTTCATATGACAAATCCATTCCATATTTCAACAAATATATTATCAAATTATATGTATTTAGAATTTCTAGTAACTTGATTTTTTAAATATTTATGCCGCGAACATAATGGTTGCTGAGAAAAAATGCCAGGATATTATAAATAACTATTGTAAATCGAAAAACTTAGGCTATTTCGGATAAAAAGTAATAGTAATTGTTAATAATTTTGTTAGTTTCAATGAATAATATTCGCTTATCTCGACACTTATTAAAAAATCTGATTCGTTTGTTCATACATATTAATGAAATTTTTCAGAATTTAGTATTTATGTTAATATTTTCCACGTATAACTTCTAATTATTTAATTTTGCAGATTTTAGGTAACTTAACAGTGCTAAATATAAGACAACATAATTTTACCAAGTTAGAAAAAGATATTTTCTACGAAAGCAGAATCAACATCAGACTTGAAAAACTCCATATCACAAATGGACCACTTTCTGACTTTCCAATTGAAACATTTCAGGTATAAAAATTTTAATCATGATAATATTAGTTTATTTTTAATATAATTTATTTAATATGGAAATAAATATAACTAGTTGGTATTGGTACATTGCCTTGGCAAATTTCATGAACTTTCCGATATAATAATCGACTTAATCTATAATAAATAAATTAATTTATGAGTGATTTCAAATTTTCAAAATTCAATATTTTTTTATAATTGAACCAGTTTCCGTAAGACTATAGTGCTTTAGTATATTTATTAAGAATAAGTACTCTATCGCTATGCCAAGTAAATCGTCTAATTATTATTCAATTAAACGCCAAAAAACTACTCATTTTCTCAAACTTTGATGAATTTTGAAAATTAAACTACTTGTCGTAAGGCCGTAATAATTCAGTAAGTTCTATAAGACCATGATATATATTGCCAAAAAAAATCCACTTAATTTTTTTTCAACAGTTAATTACAAGAAAACGGCTCCGTAGATTTTTACCTAAAACTAATAAGTATGATTCCCAACTAATATCTTTCGAACAGTTTTTTATTTTTTAAAATCGATTCGGTAATATGAGCTTAAATGCAGACAAAAAGTATAACACTTTTTCCCAAATTACAAAGAAACGGCTCGGTAAATCGTCGCACAAAACTGACAAACGATAGTCCTCATTGAGATACATTAAATGGCTTTTAAATTTTCGAAACCGGTCCAGCCGTGTTTGAGAAAACGTCGATTTACGGCAAAAAATCTGTTCACATACAAATTTGGTCTCATTTGATTCAGAATGGCTTGAAACGTTGAGGAAACATAAAATTAACAAATCGGATTTTTTGATGAAAACATAAACTTCGGAAAGTTAATCAAAGAAAGTGTAAAATATGATCAAGATCATCATGCAGATTATTATTCATAGTTTTATTATTCATTGAGAAACAACTTATTCAGCACATTTGTTTAAGGATTGTTTGGTTTAAAATTCGATCTGGTTAGTTACTCATCATCTATAATTTTATTAGTATTTATGAATTATTTAAAATTACAACAAACTTAAAATTGTAACAGCTCTATTTTTATTTCAAATGCAAACTTCAAGCGCATTATATGTACTTCAGCCCATTTGCTATATTGTGTTGTTAAAAATTTAAAAATTGCTTCATTGATAGACCAGCTAAAACAATTCATATCAGAGACAAAGGATCATTAGAACAATAAATATAGTTTCTTTACCTATATGATTACTATCTCTCGGTTTCTCTCTGTTAACGATGCATTTATGACATTCAATTCTCCCTTAGCCCCTAAGGAAGCTAAAGACGTTGGACTTGAATACAAATGCATTAACAGGACTCAAAAGGAACCAGTTCAAAGGACTCCGGGACGTGGAAGTCCTCGATTTGAGTCACAACAGTCTGCCCAAGTTGGAGGCGACCGCCATCTCTGATCTTACCAAATTGAGCTGGTGCAATTTGTCACACAATGCGATGACTGATTTACCGAGGTAAAAAGATAATTGAGTGAAAATGATCTATTGATAATAAATGTATGATAATGAGCCCTTAAATATAATGCGTTATAGACAAATACACCCATCCCCCTCCCTTTACACGGAAGATAGTTCTCATAAAAACAGCGTAACTCCAAAAACCGTGCTAAACGAAAATCACTATAAAAAAGCCTTTTTTTACAGTTTTTAATACGAGGAATAACAAACATGTTGAACAAAAAGAGTGTGCGTAAGATTCAGACGCGATTGAAGTAAAACTTATTTACTACTGTACAAGGTGGCAATTAAGTAAAAATAAATACGTCATATAACAATTTTGAATAATGTTTATTAGTAATATGGTAACGTTCATGATGCACATATTTATTAGTGTCAACCATTATACACATTTATATAATGATAAATTATAAATTATATATTTATAATAGCAATAAAAATATGTATAATATTTAAAAACAATAATGTAATTAAAGTCATACTACATATATGACTTGATCGGTTTGTCATTGTAATTAGCATTTAGAAATGAGCCTTCATTAGAGAAATGAAGTAATTGCTGATTAATAAATTCTATAATAATCGTTCACACAGTGGATTATGTTAAACAACGCTTAAACAAATATTGTTTTCGCAACTTCACTCATCATGTAATAATCGTGCTTAAAGAACTTTATGTAATCAAAATTAACATACATTCATTTACTGATGGTATTTTTTTTACTTTTTCGCTGGCGATATAATCTCATTCTTTGAAAAGCTACAATATCTGTTTTGCCTAAAAAATATTTTCCATTTTAATAACTTCAAAGACTTATAGAAACTACGAGTAATATCGAAATTATTTCAATAAACTTATGTTTCATACACGGCGCAAAGGCTGCATTTGTTTTATAATTTTCATTGTAATTATTTACGGGGGACAGGGTAAAATATTCTTCTGATTCAGACACTTTTCATTAAATCAAGATTTGTACTACAAATGTAACTTTAAATGTTTATTTATCTATGCCGATTTCGTTGTTGATATCCGTACGCAAACAACAACAGATCTCTATTCACATACCCGACGTCTAATCAAAATCGACCCGTATAGAAATGATATCACCGAGAGCGAATGACGAATCATTGGCACTCGACTCTTATCTTATCTTATTTGCCGTAAAGCACTTCCGTTGCATTTGTACGGATTTACACCCTAGTCGCGCCTAAAACGTTTTACTTCAAAACTTATTTAATTTATCATATATAATCAGGTGAATATAGGGTTGATATGGACTCTTCAAGAACTTTAAAATTGAAAAAAAAAACTTGCTAAAAATTAATATTCATATTCACTTAAAAAAATACAATTCACTAAATTCACTCAAATTAAATCAATTGATAATTCTATGAGATATAGTTGTTTATCGAAAAGTTTAAAGTTCAGAGAACTTGCTAAAAAGAATAATTGTTTCGGTATTTTTTGTCATTTTTTATATGTTTCTTTCAAATTTATATTTGTGAAAATAATAGAGCACTACTCATTTTCCAAATAATAGTATAGCCAAATTCAAATAATTTATTACAATTTAAATTTCAGGGGTACATTTGCCAGAAATGCTGTACTTCGAGTTTTGAATTTATCACATAACAAATTGAAAAAATTGGACACAAACAGTTTCCGTGGTATGAGATTTTTGAGGTAAGAATAATTTATATATTTGTAAACTTATATGAAAATAAGTTATACGAAATTTTCATACAAATACACTTGTCCAATAAGTTTTACTTCTTCACTTGAGAAATGGACAAATAATTCATTTATTCATTCAACATATTTCCCTTGCTCTTTACTATTACTCTTGCTCTTTACATATGCTCTTTACTATTATAAATAATTATTTAAAATAATATGACTAATAATTTATTATTTTTAGGCGTTTATATTTAAATGATAATCAAATAGCAGATGTCGGTCGTGGTACTTTTGGATCGATCGCCAAAATTGGAACAATCGATTTGGCACGAAATAAAATTACTAAAATTGATTATCAAATGTTTTTCCAACTCAACTTCATCGAGGTAACTTTAAATAAAAATCTTGAAAATTCATGATATATATTTTAATTATTTAATTTTCACGTTTATCCAGATTATAGATGTATCAGAAAATGCAGTGACAGAAATTCAAAAATTATCTTTCAAAGATATTTATTTGGCAAATATAAATTTATCGCACAATGCAATATCCAATATAGAAGACGGCGCTTTTGAGAATTGCGCAAATATAACAATATTGGATTTGTCATACAATAATATCACTGCCATTCCAAGGAATACTTTTGATCCAACGACATATGCAACTGAACTACAACTATCATATAATTTTTTGACTAATATGTCTCAGGTAAAGTTATAAATAATCAAACAAGTTAACTTTTCTACGGCTATATATCTAATTCTAAGGGCATTCGTAGCGCAGTGCTAAGAGCCTCAGTCTTGCAACCACAAATTTTCGAATCCAAATTCAAATCTCTTGCTATGTACAGCCTAATATCACGTTGTAGTGATAACCATTTTTACTTGGAAATATAGAACCAAATATATGTTAAAATAAGTTAAAATAGGTTTTTAAGATATTGCTGTAATACATTACATCACAAGTATAATTTTTTTTTCTTAAATAGAAAGGACAATTGGATTGCCTTCTGGCTTTTCATAGTGTGTAAATTTAGTATTAAAAACACATTCACATGTGTTTCCTAAACTAAGGGACCGATTCTGCCGCATAACATAAAAATGTTATAGCAAGACCATGTTATAAAGAACTTTCCATACAAAATATTGGCAAAAGCCATGTGGTTAGTGTGCAGTCAGGCGCATTTCTCAGATTTTCAGATAGAAAACCTAACCTAGAAACCGCACAGATGTCAAAAAAACGATCTTAGACAACAGGGTCTTTCTGACTCAGCTCCATAACATACGAGTGACGTTGCAGTTTATGTGCAAATCGCCTGAATGCGCAGCAAATACATGACATTTTGACAGTATTCAGTATGATTCAGTAGCATAATGTATGGAAGTTGGAGCGTAACATGGCCTTGCCATAACATTTTTCTGTTATGCGGCAGAATCGGTCCCTAAATCTTATCATTTTTTTTAGATTCCCCTGCACAATATGACTGGTTTAAAAATCCTAAACGCCTCACACAATCTTATAGAAATTATTCCACGAAATACGTTTCCCAAACTATACGAGTTGCACACAATAGACCTTTCATACAACAAAGTGTCATCGATCGCAAATGCAGTTTTACAAACACTGTTTTCCCTTAGAAACTTATACCTCAGTCACAATTCCTTGGAAATAATTAAACCTCCGACTTTTGGAACATTACCAACATTATTAGATATGGATTTGTCTTACAATAATATGAAGGAAATAGCAAAAGGAGCATTCACAAAATTGACAAGTCTCAGAACATTAAATGTAGAAGGAAATTTACTAAGTAAAATGTTTACTGTGCCGATCTCTTTGGGTCATCTGAAGATTGCAAATAATTTGTTAGAAGAATTGCCTGAGAAGACCTGGCCTAGCATGAATTCTATACTGTCTTTGGACTTCAGTGGAAATAAATTTGAAAACCGATTAGTACATGGAAGTTTTTCGAATCTTTTAACTTTACAAAGACTGAATTTATCGGAAAATGGAATATCGCAAGTGCCTTGGGAGAGCTTAAGTGAATTGACCGCTTTGCAGTATTTGTATTTACAGGTAAGAGAAAATAAATAACTAGTTTTATTAATATTGCATAATCGAAATGATAAAGAATAATATATGATCACATGTAAAGCTAAAATTTTAAATTGGAAATATAATAAAATCTATGCACGTCCACATAGCAGATATTTTCAAAGAGACGTATCGCAGATTTATTGTAAAATATACTTTACCACTTAAAAATTTAGAAAGAAAAAGAGTGCGCGTAAGTTTCACACGAGATTGAAGTAAAACTTACTAGCATTTAAGTAAAAATAAATACATCATATAACAGTTTTGGATAATGTTTATTATTAGTAATATGGTAACACTCGTGATGCACACATTCATTAGTGTCAACTATTATACACATTTTTATAATTATAAGGGGTTATAAGGGTTAGAAATTATATATTTATAATAGCATTAAAAATAAATATAATATTTAAAAACAATAATGTAATTGAAGTCATACTTCAAATATGACATGATCGGTTTGTCATTGTAATTAGCATTTAGAAATGAACCTTCATTAGCGAAATGAAGTAATTCCTGATTAATAAATTCTATAATATTCGTTCACACAGTGGATTATGTTAAACAACGCCTAAACAAATATTGTTTTCGCAACTTCACTCATCATGTAATTGTGTTTGAAAAACTTCATGTAATTAAAATTAACATACATTAATTGACTGATGTTTTTTTTACTTTTTCGCTGGCGATATAATCTCATTCTTTGAACAGCTGTAATATCTGTTTTACCTAAAAAATATTTTCCATTTCAATAACTTCAAAGATTTATAGAACTACGAATAATGTAGAAATTATGATTAATTCTATAAACTTATGTTTCATACACGGCGCAAATGCTGCATTTGTTTTATTATTTTAATTATAAGTATTTACGGGGGACAGGGTAAAATATTCTTCTGATTCAGGTATTTTACATTAAATCAAGATTTGTACTACGATGTAACTTTAAAATATTCATTTATCTATGCCAATTTTCTTGTTGATATCGGTACGCATACAATGTTGACCCCAGTACGCATACTACGACAGATCTCTATTCACATACGTGACGACTAATCACAATCGACCCGTATAAAAATGATATCATCGAGAGCGAATGACGAATCATTGGCACTCAACTCTTATTTTATCTTATCTGCTGTAAGGCACTTGTACGGATATACACTCTAGTCGCGCCTAAAGAAGTTTTACTTCAATAAAGATATGTAAAGTACTTTTATTGAATATGTTAGACCGGCACTATACATTTTTTTTATTTTTCAGAACAATAATTTGACTCGGCTTCCCAAAGCCGCGTTTGGAAGATTGCCAGTAGTTTTCGAGTTGGATTTATCACACAATAATATCGGAAATATTAGGTAAGCATATATGTGAATTGCATACAAATAACAAAATAAATATCAAATATATCTTAATAGAAAATTTTATATAATAAAATTACTCACATGTTTCCAATATTTCAGCATTCATGCATTTGACGGTCTGCTCCAACTTTTAAAACTAGACATGTCTCATAACAAAATCCGTCAAATTCCAACGGGAGCATTTAGAGGATTGGTATCTTTGAGAACTCTTCACTTATCTCACAACAAAATAGAAAAATTGGATAATAAAACAAATAGTTTATTCGAAGATTGTTTGTCTTTAGAAAACCTGGATTTGAGTCATAACAAAATTAGTTTTGTTACAAGGAAAAGTTTTCCGAGCAACCCGTATATTCCGTACAGATTGAAAAATTTAGATTTAAGTTACAATTCTTTACCAATTCTTACGTACGATTTGACTTTTGGAACAAAGAAATTGGAGAAACTTAATGTTTCTCATAATATGATCAGCGACCTGTATAGAGGTAAGATGTAGTAAAGAAAAGTTGGATTAAATAAAATTTAACACTAATATTTGTATATGCTCTTTTTCCTATGCCAATAATTTCATTCTTCTGAAAACTCACCTATTTGTTATAAAAATATATTAAAATATGAATAAACTTCATTTTCTTATCATTTCATCATTTTCTTTCAGGAGTATTAGGCAACTTGACTTCACTACAAACGTTAGATATGTCCTTCAACATGCTAGAAGATTTAATTTCTGAACCCAATGCCTTTAATCTACCAAAAAACATAACCAACTTGATTATGAACGACAATAAAATTATGTTTTTGCCAATAAACAAACTAATAAATGCAACTCAATTGAAAAGTTTGGATTTGAGAAATAATGTGATCAACCAGTTTCCTTATGAATTTGTGCAGCAGATTGATCAAGGGTTAGAAGTCAAATTTGAAGGTAAAAAAATAATGAATAGAAACCAATGATTTATATAAGTCTAGTAAAATCAGAAATAATAAAAACACTTTGCAATATTTTACCTTTTGGCCAATTGGCACATAAGACGTGATCTTATGTATTTGTTTTAATATTAGATTATTTAGATGGTGTAATTCTGTACAAATTATACAGTAATGTGAATTTTGAGGTTAATTTACTAGTTCAACTTGTTTAAAGTATATTCATTTAATGCATTTTTAGAGTTGGACTTGACCAGAG